AGTAATGATGCTGAAAATCACAGAAATAAATTATATTTTAAAATATAATCAAATAGAAAACAGGTATTTTAAATAGTAAAAATATTTCACAATATTACTGATTTTGCTGTATTTTGGATCAAATAAATGCAAGCTTGGTGAGCAGAAGAGACTGATTTAATAAACATTAAAAGTTCAAAAACTTTTGACTGGTAGTGTGTGTTGCATTAAAATTTATATTTTAAATTAGTCTAAATAATTTACTAAATAATTTGAAAATCAATATGAAAAATAAACTTGTAAAATATATTAGATTTAAGAATATACATATATTTTATAAAATAATAATAAATGCATTTCTCCTTCAGATAGCAACTTGTTGATTCTGTAACACTAGTATGATATCGTATAGTATTTCTCAGAAATGAAGAAGTAGAACACTGTAGTTGTTAATATATTAGACAAAACTGTTAAAGTAAGTAAGGACAGAGATTAAGTGCTTCTTTGCTTCTGCGCTCAGGTGTTCTCAGCGCTGTCAAAATAAAAGTCTGACACTTATCGGCCAATGCAATGAATTACAAAGATGCTGAATATTAGCCAATATAGACCAATTTGGAGTAGACGTCGACACTGTGGTGGCAGAAAAACACTGGGAACAAGTGGAGGCAAAGGGTAAAAATGTATTGTTGTGCCTTTGGATGTCAGAATCAGAATGCAAATAATTTGTATATAACACTATCATCAAAGACAGCATTTGAAGCTAAACGCTGACATTTTAAACGGACGGACTACGGATGAAAGCTGCTATGATTCACCTACTATTAAAGCATCATAATCATAAGCTTCATAATATTCACATATGCAGTCCATAGGGGACATATTATATTAGCCCTACAGTTACAGCATGAAATAGCCTACTATTTAAACCTATAACGTTTAACTATTTTATCTCACAATTCAGATTTTTGTTGTTGTTGTTGTTGTTTCTCGCAAAAGCAAGTTTATATCTCCTAGTTCGGACTTCATGACTCGGTTTAACTCAAGTTTGTCGATTCTGAGAGAAAGTGTGTGATTATAAACTGAGCCGAGGGGAAAAGAGAGAATGACGAGTTGATTTTTCTTATCAGAATTGTGAAATATAATCTCGGGGTTGCGAGAAAAAAGTCAGAATTTTGAAATATAAACTCGAAATTACCTTTTTTTCCGTGGCTTCCGTAGACTGCTACTTTAAAACTGTTGTTTTCTGCCACCAGATAGGCTCCGCCCATAAAAATGTCATCACTTGTCACCAAATCGGTCCATATTTCACCCATGGCAATATATTTGTCAATCACTAGTCACTGAGTATTTGCTTGACAAAGCGCATGCTGCTTAAGTGATGAAATGAATGCTTTTGTCGCTGCTTTCTCATTTTAGTCATTAAATTAGTGAGCGTGATTATGGACAATAGTCATTGCATTTGCTGTGGGGTCACAGTCACAGCCACGTCATGCCCCACAAACCATCTCTGATATTTTCTAACAATACAGAAAAGTGCATTTCCAGTTGATCGACAGGAGATCTCAGCAGTGACTCCCTCCCTCCCTCCAGATTGTTTTAGACTATTATATCAGGGTTAACCAACTAATCGCTTGTTGGATGACTAGTCAACAGTCCTTGCCCGTGTGTGCTTTACGAGGCGTTTCAGTGACCTGTCCTTGGCTGGAATGATCTGCAATGTGGGCCAGGCTTTATGCTGATGGCTCTGTGAGACTAACACAAGTGTCAGCGTCTCTGTCTGTGTGTGACACATTAGGGAGGCGCTGCTGGCTGAGATGGGTGTGTCTGTGAAAGAGGATGGAGGAACAGTGGGTGTCTTCTCGCCCAAAAGAGTGAGTCAACTCATATTTAATTGTATAGTGCGGATCACAATGCATGTTGTCAAAGCAGCTTTAGAGGAAGTGAAGGTGCGGTCGCGCTTACTGTTGTCGTATGTTCACATCATTTCAGTAGGAATTCGCACGATTGAGAATTTCACATGAGGCTGAAAGATTTCCATCAGATTTAAGTTTGAAGGTTTGACTCACTGAGCAACAGGAAGCTGCTTGGTTTAAAAGGATCTTCTGTGTCAGCTGTGCTTAATGTATCAGTGTTGACAACACATAATCAACCTTTTTTGCCCATTAAATTTTCCTAAAGTGACCACACCTTATGATTTCTACACATAGCGGCGCTTTCACACAGAATGCGTTTTTCGTTCCACTGTGCTACTTTTCCATTGTTTTCTTATGTGAATGTGCAAGATTGTTGTGTTGGACCATTGCATTCGTGTCTTTTGCAGCATCTCGTGCATGACGAGTCTTCTCAAACGTCTCTAGACCTTGCATTTTTTCCCCATTCCACTGCCCACGTCTCTCATTTTTCAAAGCAAAAAAACATTCTGTGTGAATAGCCCCATGCTCACTATCCTAGCTCTTAATGAGCCCGATTAGGTCCAAAATGCATGAGTTTAAGCATGAGTTTTTTTCCTCAGACGCCCCACCTGGTGAATCTGAACGAGGATCCTCTGATGTCAGAGTGTCTGATCTATTACATTAAAGATGGAGTCACCAGGTGAGCAGTGAGTTTCTGAAGGAGTGGTCAGTTTCTGTAGACGTACTGCACTGTGTCTCACAGCTCGCTGTGTGTGTGTGTGTGTGTGTGTCTCACGGCTGTGTGTGTGTGTGTGTGTGTGCGTGTGCGTTGCAGGGTTGGTCAGGAGGATGTGGATATTCGTCTTAGCGGTCAGTTTATAAAGGAGCTGCATTGCGTCTTCTGCAGTGAAGTCAATGAGAATAACGAGGGTGAGAGTGATCACGTGACATTCGCTGCATTCACTGTTTCACACAAATGTAAAGGCAACGTTACAAAAGATTTCTGTGCTTTTGAGTAGCATCAAATAATCCTGAAAACAATGCATCACGGTTTCCACAAAAATATGAAGCAGCTCAACTGTGTTCAACATAATAATAATCAGAAATGTTTCTCGAGCAGCAAATCAGCATATTATACTGATTTCTGAAGATCATGTGACACTGAAGACTGGAGGAATGATGCTGAAAATACAGCTGCGCATCACATTTTAACTGATATTCACATAGAAAACAGCTATTTTAAATTATAATAATACTTCACAATATTACTGTATTTACTGTATTTTTGATCAAATAAATGCAGCTTCGGTCAGCATATAAGTTAGTTATTTCAAAAACATTAAATAGAAATCTTACTGACACCAAACTTCAACCAAAGTTTATGTGTCAAAAATCATATAATCGATCAAAAATCATATGTAGACCTGTATTTTGCTATGATTTTCTGGACATGAGAATGACAAAACACTTATTTATGTTCATATAATCATTATAATCACAAAACCAAATATCTCTCTGTCTCTCTGTGTGTGTGTGTGTGTGTGTGTGTGTGTGTGTGTGTGTGTGTGTGTGGGGGTG